GCGATGTTTGGCGGCCCGGCCGTGCTTATCGATTTAACAGATGGCAACCGACATACTGGGTACCGTCTGGGTATGTGGGTGGTCTCCAGTGCCTGTGGGAAGATGAGTGCTTGAGCTTCTGTTCGGGAAACACCGCGTACACACCCGTCTCCGCGTGTAGCGACGGAGCGTGTAACGGAGCGTTTACGTTGCCGGACCCAACCCCGTTGCCGACGACGCCATCACCGTCGACGTCTCCAACTCCTGGGCCCACTCCAAGACCTTCCTTTAGTCCAAGACCTACCCCTGCCCCCTCTCCGAACCCAACACCCGCGCCGAACACTGCCACGCCCCAGCCGACGCCCCAGCCGACGCCCCAGCCGACGCCCCAGCCGACGTTTGCGCCGACGCCCCAGCCGACGCCCCAGCCGACGCCCCAGCCGACGCCCCAGCCGTCGCCCCAGCCGTCGCCAGTCCCGACGATTCTGTCCGCTTGCGAGAACATCGCGCTATTGGGTTCGAGTCTGTCCAATAACGGTTACAGCTGCTCTAACACCGGGCTTGTAAGTCCAGGGCTTTGGATTTCCGGTTGGAATTTTGCGAACAGCTTCGAGGATTACTTCGACGCAGTTTGTGGTACGTCCAACTGGATGTCCGGCCAGTCATGCCGCGATACCTGCAAACAGCGAGGATTCACGGTAGTACCCGATTGCATCATGACCCCGTTACCCCCCACATCAAACCCGACGCCGGCGCCGACAGACGTCCCGACGCCCCAGCCGACGCCCCAGCCGACGCCCCAGCCGACGCCCCAGCCGACGCCCCAGCCGACGCCCCAGCCGACGCCCCTCCCGACGCTCCAGCCGACGCCCCTCCCGACGCCCCTCCCGACGCCCCACCCGACGCCCCACCCGACGCCCGCGCCGACGCCCGCGCCAACGCCCGCGCCAACGCCCGCGCCAACGCCTGTGCCAACGCCTGTGCCAACGCCTGTGCCAACGCCTGTGCCAACGCATGTGCCAACGCCTGTGCCAACGCCTGTGCCAACGCTACCCAAGCCAACGTCCTCGTGGAGCTATGTGAGTGCTTGCGTGCAAACTTGCGTCACTCCGGGGTGGCAGCTGTCCACGCCGGTTGGAGAGACAGATGCGCTGCTCCTCACACAAGTTTAGCTTTATCGAGATGGCACAAGCTTCGTCGGCAGCATGATATCCAGGTCCCCGAATCGTATGCCTGCTTCCCTCGCCCTTGCGCTCTTGCGCTCTTCACTGTTTTAACAGCCCTTGCTGCTACCTACTCACCCGATTTCAGACGCGGCTGCGAGCATATGCCTGCTTTTTGCGCTCTTCACTGTTTTAACAGCCCTTGCTGCTACCTACCCACCCGACTTCAGACGCGGCTGCGAGCATATGCCTGCTTTCCTCGCCCTTGAAGCTCTTCGTTGTTGCGACAGCTCGTGCTGCCGCCTACCCACCGGCCGGCGCGCGCGTACTCGGCCACCCGATTCCCGACACTCTCACCTTGGCAGCCGGACCCACCGTTACCGGGAGCACGAAAAGAATTCTCGAAATAGGTCTCGAAATAGGACACGCATTTCCCCTTGGCGGCGCGCTCCAACGTGAAATTTATAATCCCACAATCCCATATAGCTATGACTATTTTGAATACACGCCCTCT